GGTATTTTTGGTGAAAATAGGGTATCGGGCCTTGGTTCAGGAACCAATCCCTCATTTATAACATTGTTTCTTATGAGAAAATTGGTTCCGAGTTACAATGTTTGAACTTAAGAAACAGTTTTCAGGAACCAATTGTGTCGTAAGTCTGAGGACTGCCTGTACTCCTCCCTAGTTGTTTGTCCAAGTTCCCACTTCTTATAAACTTCCTCTTTGTGATTTAGCTTTGATCTGCGGGCAACACTCCTACCAATGCAGCCTAGTACACCGTTAGCCTTCTTGGCAACAAGGGCTTACTTTTGGCTCGTATTCAGCGTATTGTCCACTGGAACCCCAGGTCCTTTCTGCACAGCTGCTGCCCAGCCAGTCAGCCTCCAGTCTGTACTGGTGTTCCCTGCTAAGTCAAGCTGGTCTTCTGCCATACTCGCTAGTCTTCCTGCACATTGGGATGGCTTGCTCCTGCACTCTCAGTAAGCACATGGGAGTAACTTGCTTTTCCCAAAGGCTTGAAGGAGGCTGGATACTCAAGAGCTGATGCTAGCTCATGAGGTGACATTAAAGCATGGAGCCTGTCACCTTCCCTTCATCTCACTGGTTCAAATCCAAAACGATCAGAACAATAAAGTCATTACTGCATGACAGCAGTGTTATAATGTGAACTGGTAATTTCAGCTTCATTCAGTAGGGATGCTAGAATGAAGTACATTTTTAATCCTAGATACAGTTGTCCATATAGACACATTGGCAGAGCAATGTTGGAACAGTTTTGATAGCTCATGTGTACCAGGATGCAGATTTGATGGGACTGCAGCTGGTTTGTGGAGCCACATGTAGTGTGATCCCATAAGATCAAAAAGCAGCTTTGGAGAAATGTGACCAAAAGTGGGTGGTATACAGTAAAACTGCAATTTTCACCCAGGGTGCTGTGGTACCCCAGAGTCCCACGAGATCCTTTCAAGAATGCCATGGGCTGCCACTCAATATTAGCACTATTGAGTATGCAACTACCTACATACGATTCACAAGATAAACCTAGACATTTCAAATGGGAATCCATAGTGTCAAGAGTATTTGGACTAATTGTGCGCTTTCTGAGTTCTTTGCAATGGCAGAGTTACTCTATTATTTTGCCATAGTCAAGAAATAAGTGAAAGTTAAGAGCTAACATTTTCTCTGGGGTGCTTTGAGTCTAAAAAGGTTGAGAATCACTGCATCAGAATCATCCCAAAGCCAGTGAGTAATGCAGTATGTTAACACAAAGCCTACAAGATAAAAGACATTACCACTTGGAATTTTTAGTATTTGACACACAAAAGTACCTATTGTAGGGACCTACGTAAATCATGGCAAGACAAAAGGATTTTTGTAGGCCACTCGTGGCACACAAAGCCAATTTTGTGGTCTTTTTGCAGTGAGCCCTCCCCCCCACACTTGCCACTGACAGCCTGAGAGGCTCTGGTGGCCCTGCCTTTCACTGCTGATGGGCCAAAAGACAAATACTGCAGCATTTAAATAGCAAAATCCATTGAAATATCAAATACATTACTGCATTATAAAAAAATCTAAGTATTAAATTTAAATCTAAATATATTATGAATATAAATGTATACACCATATGAATTTAAACTAATATCATCATAATTTATTATTAGCATTCTACAAAAAGTAGAGTACTACTACATAATGTTGACCTTGATAGAAACAATTCATGTTGGTTGTTAAACACTAGTGTCCAGCATCCACTGACAGGTCCAGCTGGTTGGAATGTCAAGGCACCATTTTGCCAAGTTGTAGAGATGTGGAAACTGATCAGAAACAGACTCTTAAAACAGTCACAGTCAAAGGCATGTGGCACTCTTTGACAAAGTTCATGTAAGCAGTATGTTCCTTGTCACAGTCTTCCTGCCATCCAGGGATCGATTTCAGTAGCTGAAGGTCAAAACTGAGAAAAGGCACCTGATTTGGGTAAAAAATGCAAACAGCACTAAAAAAAGGGAGGCAGCCAGTTATTTAAACTGTGGTGGTAGCTACTGTTCATCCTTGTAATACTGGATTCGACTTTGCAGCTATTGCCTAGACCAGTTCTCATCCCCACTGGTTTTCACGATGACAGTTTGAAATTTGTAGTGATGCCTCATCTGACCCAACTTATCAAACCCATCAGCTTGTTGTGTGCTTAGTACATTAAAGCCTGCCAACTTTCAAATCTTGTTAAAAGCTCCTTGTTAGAATGGATCACATTTTCAGCCACAAACTTAACTTGATCTTCAACATTTTGTAAACTATGGCTAGTTTAAACATACACTGTACTGGGTGTTATTTCAAGCTCCTCACACACAAATTGCTGGTAGTATTCATATTCTTTGAGTGGTAACAAACTGCATTAGACCATGAATTCCACCTTGTAAGCACTGGCTCTGGTGGAAGTGACACAGTCACATACAGATTCCCACTTTGATTGGCGATAGACTCCTTGTAACAAGCTTATGGCCTGGGCAATGTTTAAATGCTTTTAAAAAAAAGGAAACCAGGCTATTCACATAAGGAAAACGTGTGCACCATATATTACATGACATGAACAGATGACATGAATGGTGTTGGACATCATTCCATGGAGCACATCACAGAAAGTACACAGTATATGTGCAAAGCTATCAGACAGAAATGCTGAGATATTATTAAAATCTAAGCCATAGTTTACAAAAGCTCTCACTACAGCTCGTGCCGTGGTAGAAAAATTGACAGATGCAAGGTGAACAGGCTCTGTTTGAAAAACAGGCAGGTCGCAGTCTGTCCAGCTCCCAGGTACAAATAAAATGTGCAGAATATAGTTACCTTGGGCATCTGTTGCTTCGTCTGCTACAATTGAGAGCGATTCATATTCTACCAGTGCATATTTTGTAGACTGAACATGCAAACGCAATTACTCCTGGTAGATAATCTTGGTGAAGGTGGTTCACACATGGGAAACTGCTAGCATTTGACATGTTTGTTCAAGTAGTCCCTTAGTTTAGGGTTATAATTTTCTCCAGAAGAATGCTGGCAGCCGTGAATGTTCCCACTAGCACAAATGTAGCCTCTCTTCTTGTCAGACTATTTTCAGGGGCTCTTTTAAAGATTGAGGACATAGTTGCTTGTTTCTTGCTCTGACCTTCAGCCTCTGCAGCAGCTTTTTCCTTTATATGCAATTCGGATTCTAAATGCCAATCAATGCTATTTATCCTAAACACACCCACATTGCACGATGAACAAAAGAATGTACCCCCACCTGCATGCAAAGTTCCTACAGGAAACTGCTTTACATGATCCTGAGCTGAAATGTATTTAACTTTCTTGAATTTTTTTTCACTCATGATTTTCAAACTGCAGCATTAAAAGATGACACTGAAACCCATCTGCTTTGAAGACTGACACCTTCACTTAGTCTATGTCACTAGCTCAGCCTTTCAGTAGCCGTCTCTGAAACCATGTGCTCTATGGCTAAAGGGATTACTCTGCTTTTTGAATACCAGTAAGTTTTTTGGGGATGACAGAGGGGCGTTCCCACACAAAATCTCAGGAATTGCTATTTTTCGCGGTGAATATGGAAGCTGCTGGTTTTTGCAGTTACTGTGAACATTGAGAAACCATGTTTTAAATAAGTCCCTATTTGTAAATGTCTGGGTTTAATCTTGTGAATCAAATGTAGGTGTTTGCACACCTGACAATGCTAATATTGTGCAGCATCCTTAAAATGATCTTATGGCACCCTACGTGAGAACCACTACTATATGCTTATAAGCTTGTTTTTACAGCAAGTGCACACTGTTGACATATAACCAGTTTGCAGTAGACTATAACCCCCAGGTCCTTTTTCACAGCATTAAAGCTTAACACCGTTCCACTAGTTTTGGTGAAGCCACCAAAGAATTAGCAAGCCTATAAGAACAGCTATTATAGCTGTCAAAAACAAATATGCAGTACATGAACAGTCTAGCAATGGTGAGAGTCTTCAAGTATGATGAAAATTTTCACTAACAGAAAGAGGCCTTGACAAGCGCTGAATAAAGTCCTTGGCCCCGCTACATGTCCCCCGGCCAAGTCAAAGTTGGACAGCACTTCTCTAAAGTAAAATCAAACAGTGCCTGTGATGTTAAGAGGGCATTTTGGTCATCTAGCCACCTGGATGATGAATTATCCAGCCACCTGAGAGTTTTTGATAGGTCCTGTTAAGGACAAATGCATCAGTCTAGCTATTCCAGTGTAAATTGGACAAGAGATGAGACAAACTCCCATGCATCGGGACAACAGATTCCTATTTTTGAAGGAGAGATTAAGGACAAGGCAGTCCAAACCCATAAGAGCAATCTCCAACAACTCCCAAGAGCAGAAAATAGCTGGAATGCAGGCAGACACGCTGAAGAGCAAGGGAACTACGCACTCCCACCTCAGGCGTCTCTTGGTTTCTGAAGGATTCTGACCAGCCTCAGGTGTGGGGCACTTCTACACCTGAGGTAATATTTGACACACAGATGAGGTGTGGTAAGGCTTTCTGCAAGAGCTAAAAACAGTCGGCAGGGCTTAGAAATAAATGAGAGGCATTCCCAGGAAGGGGGAACAGGCAGCAAAACAGCAGAGGAGGGGAGAGGTGGAACAAGGAAAGCACAGGAAAAAAAAAGGAGAGAGGGTCATTAACACCACTGGAGAGAGATTAGTAGGAGCGGAGAAGATGACAAGGCACCAAGCCTCCCCCAGCACTGCCTGAAGAGAAACCAGTGCCGCTGCCTCTCCCAGACACTTGGTTTTCATACGTGGAGATGAAACCACGCGCGCCGCGTATTCAAATTTACGGCTGCCAGCCCCTCATTGGTTGACACATAGCACGTGACGTCGCAACCGGCGTGACGTTACACCACGTGACCTGTTCCAGACTAATCGCCGGCGCACAAACGCGCTTCTCTTGCAGCTCTCACACCAGGAAGAGCCATTAATAGCGGCCCCGACCCCACCCTGTCGGCTCTCACCAGCCAGCCTGGCTGCTTCGGAAGCCTCCCCCGCCACAGCTGCCTGCTCCCACCGGCAACTTCCGGGGGCGGGGCTGTGCCGATCCTGGGCACCGCCCCTTTGGCCCCCGAGAGCGCGGGGCGGGGCCGCGCAGCCGCCGCGAGTTGATGACGTTCAGCCGCGCGCTCCCAGGGAGCGGGGCTAGTGGGCTGGGCGGGGTCCCCTCTGGAACTCCCGCGTGTCCCGGGAACCGGTGAGACTGCGCATGCGCGCGGGGCGGGGAATCAGCCACTTCCCGGAGTAAAGACGGGGCGGGGCCGCCGTCGGCAGTGACGTAGCGAGTTCCATTCAGGAAGCGAGACACGGGGGGGGGCTGCCGTGGGGCTACTCCGCGCTTCCGGGATTAGGGGGCCCAGGCCCGGGGCAAGGCGCGGTGCCCTCAGGCTCGCCCCCATCCGCAGTCTTCTTCCGTCTCTTAATTCGCACGAAGCGAGGCCTGCCCAACTCCTCAGTGCCTGGGACCCCTCGTGAAGCCTGCCAGTGCCCGGGTGCCAGGCAGGAGAGGCTGTGGGACAGAGGCGTGCCTTACCCCACAGAGGGGGATGCACCTGTAGAGTCCTAGAAAGTGAGGGCTGGACTGGGCCCCGGGAGGTCACCTCGGCCCATCCTGTGCTCAAGGCAGGACCAGCCCCAACTAGATCATCCCAGCCCAGGGGTCTTCAAATCCTCCAAGGACAGACTCCACAACGGCCCTGGGTAGCCTAGTTCAGTGCTTTACTACCCTCGCCTGAGAGTTCTTCCCAATATCTAATCTAAAGATCTCTTGCTGCAATTTGAGAGCATTGGGTATTTATACACTGTTCTGGGAGGTACGGCACCCAGAGTGTCCCATGTATTTGCATCCCCACACTGAAAAATGGCAGGGGGGGCATTTTAACGAAACCATGTCAAACAGGAAAGTGCCCCCACCGCCAGTTTTCTGTGCAAGGGACACTGATACATGTGACGCTGGAGTCTGCAGGAACTAGTAATTACCATGTTCCAGCAGACTTGATTAATTGTTCCTTGTTCTGTCATCTGCCACTACTGAGAATAGTCTGGCTCCATCCTCTTTGGCACCACCCTTCAGGTAGTTGAAGGCTGCTATTAAATCCCCTCTCAAGCCTTCTTCTCCAGACTAAAGAATCCCAGTTTCCTCAGCTCCTCATTGTAAATCATGTGTCCTATCCTCTAACCAATTGTTTGGCCCTCCACTAAACTCGAATTTGTCCACATCCTTTCTGTAGTGGGGGGCCCCAAAACTGGATTTAGTACTCTAGATATGGCCTCACCAATGCTGAGCAGAGGGGAATAATCACCAAGGATCCTGGTTTTCTCCAAGTAAAAAAAAAATCCCAAATTTTTGGTTGAAAAAAAGTGTGTGTGTGTGTGTGTGTGTATATATTTCATTTTAATCATGGAAAAATGTGTTGGGCTTACTTCCTTTTAACCAAAAATTAGAGCTTTTTTTTTTTTAAATCAGAGAAAACCAGGATCTCTGATAATCACCCCTCTCAACCTGCTGGCAACATTCCAGGATGCTATTAGCCTTCTTGGCAGATAGTCTATACATTATTTAGTCTAACTAAGAAATGCACATGCTTTCTCTGTATACATCTTATTTAGTTTATCAGGGTGCTTATCGACCCTGCCTTTTGATTAATAAAGAATTAACTATAGTTAATTCAATTGCAGGAAGGGCCCCTAGGTGGGAATAGCACCTTTCTGGCCGTAAGAAGGGTGTGAAGAAGTTGAAGAGGGTCCAGAGGCAGACAACAAAAATGAGAAAGGGGGTTGATGGCAAGTTGTGCAAAGAAACACTGAGAGAATAAGGCATGTTTAGCTCAAAGAAAAGGAGATGAAGGTGCACTGTTATAGTAATTTTCAAATACTTGAAAGGCTGCCATAAAGAAGAGGGAGAACCCCTGGCTCTCTCTTGATACAGAGGACAGGGTATGAAGCACAATGGCTTTACATTTCAGCAAAGTAGGTTTAGAGATATCACTGTCAGAACAGTCAGTCAGTCAGTGCGCGTAATTGCCAAGCCATGCAATAGCATCCTCAGTGGCCATCTGCAGTTCCTGTAGAACAGAAAGGCAGTAGAATAGACTGCCCTACTGGAATTTTTCAGGGGGATGAGGAGGATTTGGGCAGAGATGATTTAGGAGTGGTATTCTTGCATTCATGCATGGGATTGGACTACCTACCCATGCAGTCCCTTCCAACCCTATGACTGTGATACTGGTTCAATTTATTTCTATACATAACTTTTAACTAAACAACCTGCCAGCATCACACAGGTCTCAGTTTCATAGTTGCTAGGATCAGAAGGGACCTCAATAGATTATTGAGTCTGACCCTCTGCCTTGGGCAGGAAAGAGCGCTGGGGGCATCTGATCCCAGCCCGTTACTTGTGCAA